TCTAATTTATTTATTTCTTACTCAATTGTAACATCAAATAAAAAAATCTATTTTCTAAAATTGAATAAGAATTTTACTGAAAAATAGATATAAAATATTTTATTAACTAAAAAATTAAATTTACTAATAAAAGGGTATAATTATATTTAAAGTGGGTATATAAGTATAGAGCGAATATGGGTAAAACTCTTTTATTTAGAGGAGAAGTGTTGTAGACTGTTCACACAAAGAGCCAAAATCAATATCTTCAATAATTTCAATCATTTGATTTGAAATGCTATTTTGTTTCCGTGTACGAAATGTGGATGTGGGCCTGAGGAGAGAATTGTGGGGCCCATAGTCACAGCATACAATATTTTACATACATGCAAGGCAGGCAGGTAGGCATGCAAGAAGTTGGCGATCAACATTTTTAATGCCAGAATGTCACCTTTCGAACACAAAATATAGAACATTTAACTTTTCTTACCCCCCAAAAACACATGAACTTTGTATCATGTGTAACTTTTCTTATCCAAAAAACATCAACTTTATATTATATATATGTTGTTTTGAGGACAATTTTTTAAGCATTGCATATTAAGTTTTTAATAAATACATATTTAAGTAATTGGTCAATCCATTTTTTTACTGAAATTCAATACAATAACAAGTCTTTGCACATTTCTAACAAAGAAAAACCAACGGTAACTTAAGGCATCCTTATTTTATTTAAGATAAATTAAAAAAAGAAGAAAAAGTTGGATTTTGCATTTTACACGACAAAAATAAAAAGGAAAAAAGTTGAGTTTTGCATTTTTCATATATATATATATATATATTGTAAATATAATAGTAATTGAGTAAAACACTCGTTTCAATATCATAAACATATGATGATACATATATATAATTTAGTTCGAATTGACAAATCGACAATTCTTTCTGACCTCGCCTTGATCATTAGTGAGAGGATTAATCTCAGATAATAACTGAATTGCCCTGACAAACTGGTCGTGAAAGTAGCCATTATCGGCTGCCATTTTCTCTACGAACGGAGTTGTTGTGGGATCAAAAGCCAGCTGTTGATCAATAAGAAGAAGTCCTTTGTGGTTCAGTATATTCTTGTAGTACATATTATCCAAAATCATAGGTGTTTCTCTGTCGTTTCGTGCATACAACACTGCATTTGGATCTGGGTCAGATGTAGGGCACCGACCTTTTATATACTCTGCGTACTCAGGGTCCCATGTTGGATCCACTGTTGGGTAAAGTCTACGAACCAAGTTCACACAATGAACTCGACCTACAGAGTGAGCTCCTGTACATGGACAAAACTCATTTGATATTACTAAGAGTTAATTAATTAATATTGTTGAATTGGATTAATATAATTGGTAATTCTAATTTATAGTTGTCAAAATTAATCTGGTGGATTAAGTGGAAGAATAATTACAAACCTAATAGAATGATAGCTAGATTAATTTTTTTAACCTTATTAATCGTTAAAATAAAAAATAAGATAATAATTGTTTGGTGAAGTAAGAAAATATTTATTTCCTAAGGTGATGAATTGCAGATAAGAACAAACCAAAATTCAAATAGGTCCAGCAGGGCAATGATTCAGTGAACTTAGGCATGCATACATTTGGTTATATATATATATATACAAATTAGTCAATTTTGTGATTTGATTAATATTAGTGCATGTGAGACAATGATTAATTTTAAGTTTATAATAATATTAATGTTGTGCTAAATTATTAGTACTTTAAAAAGTTATTATTATTATTATTTAAGGATCACTATTTGATGACTTAAAAATTAGTGTTTATAATTAAACACTTTATTTTGTTTATAATTAATAATTAATGAAAATTTAAAAAGAGTGATGTTATATATATATATAATACCTAAGAGTGCGACTGTTCCTTCAACATCAATGCCAATGGATTTAAATCTAGCCAGCACTGACGAAATGGAGTCATTGTGGTTTGGAATGGAGGTTTCTACCTCTGATATATAACTTTCTTTGCTATCTTTCCTTCCTGTCTTCATCTCAATACGTGGTCCTCCCAACTGCATATATATATATATATATATATATATTATATCTCATATATATGTATGTTAACAAGATCCCATTTCATTGATCCTTTATACATGACTAAAAAAGTTAATAATTTATATATATGTATCATCCAGATCCCATTTGACTAAATTTCGTGCGTGCTTATTGTATTATAAATAAAAGTTGATATATATATATATATATATATGCATATATTAGATAAGGAAAACATACCATGACGATGCCATCTCTAGCAGAGAGAGCGACAACATCTGCACAAGAGACGGTGAGTGGGCATTCCTTTTCTAGGGCATCTTTGATTGTTTCAACATATTTGAAATTTCTCATGCCAAAGCTTCTTTCAGATTCCTGCTCTGATCTTATCCCATTCATTGTCTCCAACAATAATGATGCATCGCATGACTGCACATCAAAATATTCATACATAATCTAATATGCATAGTTTTATTGATATATATACATGTACGTACTACATGTAATATAATTAAGGATCTTCCCAAGATTCGTACCTTAACAACACAATCGTGGAATAAATTTCTGACCCAAGAAACAGCAGTGTTTCCATGTTTATAGTAGAGCTTTATAACTTCTTGTTTGATG